CCATAGCCGAAGCTGTTTGTTGTGCAGCTAACATTGCACGATCTTCAGGTTTGTTGATGTACTTAAACAAATATTTAACAGCCCTATATAAACATCAAATAAAACCAAGTTGTAGATGTTAGATAGGGAAGTAGGAAAAAGTTGTATTACATTTTTTCTCAAATGTGACTTGTATTAAATAAAAAACCAAAACACAATAGGCAAAGTACAGAGAATAAAAGGCAACAAATGGATCACAACTTATCCAAGGGGCAAAAAAAAAAAAGAAGGAAAACACTGCAAAGAATATTACAAAAATTACAGAGTTGCGGGAAGAAGTCACACCAATAAGATAAAACTGGGTTTATAAAATAAATAATAAAAGAGAAATCGCACAAATATTGGTTTTGTTTTTATTCATCTTTGAAAATTAAATCATAATTAATATGCATGAATAAAGTTAATAATGAGTGTAGCATATAAATATACATATAGCCTGTCATTAAGAATCTGAGTTTGGTAATATAATAAAGGAAACAACAACGCCATATTGATAAATACGATTCACTTAAGCCATACCTTGTCTTGTTACAAAATTCAATATTGATATGCGCTCCAAATCGTAGTAACAAATATCGATTGTAGGGTACAACCCATCGATTATCTAGATAAACCCCGCCACAGTTGAAAACTCTACCATTGTTCCGCCGACGATATTTAGCAACCCAGTTTCATCAATAGTTGTTTGAGAAGAGTATTCCTTGGGGTAATGCTTACTACATGTCCCATTCTTTATGCACACATTATTAGGACGTACTGTACCACACGGGCCATGCATCATTGAACTTGTGACAACTGCATATAGTTCAGGATCAAGATCAGGATCCGGAATTTCAGCACAAATTATGGAATCAATAGCCCCAGGACCATGAAATTTATTCTCCGAGGACAAAAAAAGCAATATGTGTGCATGAGGGAGACCCCGCTTTTGCCATTCAATTGCTTTGACATCTGTACAGCAAGATGCAAATAGTGGAAAAGGAATATTAGTTCAATGAGGTAAGAGAGTAATGGATCAACATTAATAGATAATAAACGAATGAATAAGCACACATACATGCATTGATTTTCCCAAATATTTCTTTCTCGCGAATCTCTAACATAAACTCATCAAGCTTGATTTTGAAAACTCTGGCGGTGATGTCAGCCCGGTCAGGATCTTTGCCACAGTACCTTCTAATCAAATCAACCATTAACTGTATCTCTGGCCAGTTAGAATTGCAAGTGAATGTTATAAACAAATCAGGATAACCAATCCACTTGCAAATAGCCATCGCATCCTGAAAATTTTCATACTTGTATCTTGGACTACCAGTGTGAGGCAGCTAAAATAACTGGCTTCCGAGAAAGCTTGATATCACTATCCCCTCGCAAATAAGAATTCAACAAATCCTTGTAGTAGATTCCTCTTAGCTTCGACTGATGGGTACGCATCCAGTCTAAGCGTTCAGCCTCAATTAACTCAAATGCATTCACCATATATTGTTGAAACAATTTACCAGATAATAATAGAGAATTCGACTCCTAGAGACGGGTTTGAAGACGATATGCATAGAAATCACACTGCGTTATCATTTTATCTCCAACACGGATATTAGAGCTACTGTGACTATAGCTAATACAGGGATGCCACCCATCCTCGCCATATGGGAATAAAATTGGATATTGTAATGCCATCAGACTTGGATGGTATAGGCTAATCCTTTCCATTTATGAACCCTTCTGTTGAACAATTATATCTTGAGAAAATGATTGCTCACCTGTTTCATCTACAATCAATGCTACAATCTCATTCGCAGATGGCAAATCATATTCTCTACTATTAATTTCACGCTTAGCCAACAGTTTCAGTTGAAGCTCCAGGACACCAGAGTTTTGTATCCTATCTCGCGCAGAACGAAATGTACGTAACAGGATATTATTGACATCAAACATATGCTGGAGGCCTTCAACAATACACTCGCGCAATGAATTCTTGGCAGGATCAGTGGAGTAAAAGTCCATACGATTCTGGACCTCGTTATCTGAATCGTGAATGTAAAGCTGTGCAAATTCCGGACTATCCCCATCACCAGGAACCAAACATCCTATTCGATGATAAATCTGACCACCGATTGAATATACATAAACTCCACAACCATCATTAATAGAGTGATTGACTTTACCTCCAAGAGAAATAAAGCCAAAAACCCCATTATAGGCCCTGATGTTACTACGAAAGTGACGCGCTAATGGTGTATCCCCTTCAAGTAGAGTTTTAAGAAATTCGGGCACATCTCTGCGGGGAGGCAATTTCACTTTACCATGTTTGCAACATAAAGGAAATGCAGGCAACACATCATTCCATGTAGATAAAGTACTCTCGAACTGCCACATAACTGCTCCACAATGTTGACACGTACATGAAGGTAGACCAATATCAAAAAATTCAACCAACGGAAGACCTAGTGAAATAGATACGTAATGTTAATAAAGTTTTGTCACAGTAATTCATAAATTGAATGAGTTTGAGAAACTGTCAAGCCCATGTACTCGCGCTACAGTGAACACAATTATTAAAACAAATGTTCTCAAGGAAAGATAGATTGGTATACTGCTCATATTAAGTAAGAATAACTCAAATTTCAGGAAACACCAAAGTTTGTTCAAAACACACAAATTTGCCGTTGACACATCAACATCTAAAAACAATCCACTATTTGCATAAGGTCGCATGAAGCGTACAACACTAAATTATATACATGACATAAATGGGTACATTATATGTTCTAAGACCAAAATAGGGAACAAAATATGTTGACCAGAACACTAAAACAAATATCCAATGTACAAAAACTGATCCAAAATAGAGATGAATTATGTCATGTATAACAATGCCCATTAGAATCAACATACTTTGATTGACTTCTGTAGGAAAGAAACTTCGGCCACGTCTCTTTCTATGCAGATGAATACGTCGAAGTAATCGACTTTGCTTTTGTAATAGAAATCTAAACTGAGGCTCCCAAACTATGAACAACACCAAAACAAATAAGTTAATAAATAAATAAATAAATAAATAAAGAGTGAACAATACAGAATAGCCTAATATGTAAGACTTGTTACAAAATTTAGCAAACAACAACCTTGGTGTTCAAAAGGCAAGCCCCTCCTATGAACCTTCTGTTTCAAAATATGATGTCTTCTCTTACGGGCGACTTGGGATAGCATTCGCCCAAGTTGAGAGAGTTGGAATTGTAAGCCAGCTTCTTCTGCAGAATTTAAATATAAAACCATGTATTACTCATTGAATAGATGAACTAATTAGAAAAATTAAAACGCAGAGAACACACCTCTCTCAAATGTTTCTTCCTCTTCAGCAGATAAAACACAGCGTTGGTACTGATCTTCAGGATGAATAAAAATTGTTCGACGTTTCCCTAAACAAATGGTATTCAAGGGAAAATGTTAATGTCAGTTTGCATTGAAACAGTTTCATGCTAAACCATGACACTCACATGGTATAGACGATCGATAAATCTGTGGTTGGGCAGATGGGATGACATTTGCACTATCCATATTTAATTCTGCAATAACCTGACGCAATCTGAAATAGAGGTCGTGGTAAATGATGCACCCGTTCCAATAAACTTTGCAGCTGCCATTCATATAAATTAATTAATTGTTACAACAGAAGCTGAACTCCTCACCAATCATAAGTTTGTGCGAGTTGATGACACATACAACAGACCACACAAACATAACAGTCGAAGAAATCCAAAATGCTCCAACCAAGTTGAAGGCGGCCTATAAATTTAAACAAAAAAAAGTAAAGCCGATTCAAACCGAAATCAAAACCGGACGAAAAGACACCAGTCCTTTATCCTCTATGAAGTCTTGCTTTCTAGAGTGATTGAATAAACTAATCTCTTATAATGAAGAGAGGTTTCAGTATTTCTAACATTAGCTTACCCTCCTGGTGTTTGGTAACGTATCATGAAAAATGTAACACACTCGATTCGTCCATCCGAACTCATGATTTTCCCATAACATAAACACATAAATAATCCACCAAAGTTGAGTCTACCTTGTAATTATGCAGTGATAAGAAGAAGAGTGTAAACGCCGATGGAGTCTACCAAGTCAACCATTTACCCAAAATGTATTTAAATCACAAAACGGACCATCAACATGATTCTCAATTCCATACCTCTGGTCCAATTAATATCACCCTATGAACCCTAAACCTTTGTCAAAAAAAAAAAACCCTAAACCACAGTTGAAAATATGGGAAATGAAAGTCGACCACCACCATGATTTTCTTTTCCAATCCACCATTACTAATCATTAAGCACCCCAGGCCCTGAACCAAAAATGAAAAAGCTAGGGAAAGATAAATTACTTGGAATTGCAGAACATTTTCCTACAATGTCCATCGCATTTCTGTATAGGAAACCTCCATACCAAACGTTGATGCTCAGGGTCATCCTCAATACCATTTAAATTGACCTCAATACCAACTTCTGTTTACAACTTGAAGTGAGATCAGGACCTGTAAGTAGAACGTGAATAGAATATTCAGGGTCAATCGACTGTGACATAAGATACAAATCCAGAAGTGAGCATTGCTGCATTCCCCCATAAGATTCATTTTAGAAATTAAGTTGACAGAGTACTATTCAGCTCCTTTTAGGACACATGCTGCAACAGAGCAAATGAACTTTGTTCATTTTCACATTTTGGGGCATCAAATGCTACTGAATTAGAAGTTCGAATAATTCCTGGACTCTAGCACGCATACACAATTTACCAAGGCTGTGACTTTGCAACATGGTTTCACTGCTACTGTTTTCTTTCTTTTTGTTTGTTAATCCTTTGTTCCCTGCTAGTAGAGAATTTAAACTACAGAAAAATAGAGGTTCAGAAATCCTAGCAACAAATGCATGCCCGTATATAGTAGTATTTGGCACGTAAGGGATAGTTCTACAATTCAAATCCGACTATATGAGGGACATGCAAATATTCATTCTTCAGATAATCCAAGTTCTAACATGATCCCTGAATCACACATATAAAATTATCATACATGCAAATATAACTTGAAAAACAATCTTCAATGAAGCCAAACCATCAATGAGAAATTACAGCAGCAAAAGGTAGTTCTTTGGGCTCAGTAAAGAATGCCAGTACACCCTTAAAGCACATGAAGATCCCAATCAAACTCAAGTTTTTCAACTAATTGAACCTCTAGTAATTTTTGCTACTTGCAACACGCAAGGAGCACTTCCGCCACACAATTCCACAAATTATATTTATCCTTTCGTCGATCAATGATAATGGCACTTGACAGAACAAAGTAATATTACTTCAGAACCACAAAGGGAGAACAGAAATGATACCTAATCCGATTGCAAGTACCAGGGGAAACAAAGATACAACAAAATTAACCCCTCCTCATGGAATTGGCAGTTGGCTGGAGAAGGGTTCGCCGCATAATTACCCAGTTCTCCCAAATTTACAGCATAATCACATACAAAGATAATAAAACAAAGACCAATTATGAGCTTGGAGCTAATAAGAAAGAAGGAAATACCGCTGGCTTGAGAGTGATGGGGGCCTCCTCAAGAGTAGCTGGAGCGATTTGGAGCGACCTTCTAGAGGCTGAAGCAGATAAGAAAGAAGAAGCAGGGTTCGTGGCGGCGGGGGAGACGATGGTGGCGGCGGCAGTAGTTGTGCTTCTCGCCGAAGGGGAAAGCCTCGATCGTCGACAACCTCTTCGCCACGGAGATCGGTCGCTGCACTCCCAAACGCGATCTCCCCAATCCCAGCAGAAGAGGGTCGTCACTGCTTTCTGCCGCTGACCACCAAAACGTCCGGGCCTCTTCCCATGAACTCATCAACAGCCGGCTGTCAGCGCCTTCCTCAGCAGAAGCGGGTCTATCGTTTTACAGCTCACCTCTCTCTCTCTCTCTCTCTCTCTCTCTCTCTCTCTCTCTCTCTCTCTCTCTCATTCTCACACTTGCTCCACTCCATTCCTCTTCTTCTCTACTGCGCCTGCCTAATCTCTTCTTCCATTCCTTCCGCGGATCAAATCTCTAAAAGGGTAAGCAACCTCCTTCCTTCTCCTCCCTTTCACCTTTCCCCCTCTCTCTCTCTATAATGTGCCTGCAATTGCTCTTCCCTTTCCGTGAATTTCTTCTCTCTCTTAATAACCAGTAGAAAAGGTAGGCTTATTTCAGCCAAACGAAAACTAAATGAAAATTAAATGATAACGTGGGAAACCAGTAGAAAAAGGTGGGTAGTGGACGGTTTCTTAGTTTTGCATTCTGGTGGGGAGTTCTATTTTTTTCCCGCTTAACACCCTGCCACATCAGCTTCCTAAAATCACTCTATCGGCAGGAAAATTTGAATGGGGGGTGGGGGCAGTTTTACTTTTCAGCTATAAATGATACTGTTGATTAATTATAAATACCAAAATGCCCTTAGGGTTTCTAACAAATTACGTGGCTTTGCCACCGTCCTTTTGAGTAATTACCAAGCTGCCCTTCCCCCATCTCTACACTAAAACAAGAACCAAAAACAATTGTAGATAACATGTTTCGAACCCCCGTTCTCCAGGTCGAACACGACCTATTAGCTGGCAACTTAGCCAATTGGGCTGCTGGCCCATCATGCATTAATTTAACCATCCCGCTTAGTTTTATTTGTTTAAAAGTCTTTAATACGAAATGTGAAATGCGGATTAAGTTAGTTTTGGTTCTTGTCTGACACATCAAATTTTTTCTTAATAATTAAAATTCTTGCTTTCATTTTAGTAACATCGATATAATCTAACTAAAATTCTATTACCAAAATTATAATGCGAATAACGTTCCGTGGAACGTGATAAAAGTTAGGATTAAAACTATCAAAGTTAATATAAACCCTTAATACGAGAACCATTATAGGTATAACGTGACCAAAGTCATACAAATAAACTATCAAAGTTATAACGAACTACATGGACTTTGATCCCGTGATACGAGTACGTAGGCAACCGATAAGGTTCGAGTCCAACTAACCAATCAACTTTATCTTTAAATTTTTACGTCAGTGGGCGTATAATTAAATTACAGCTAATATGATTAAAATTATTTAATGGTCCAGGGGGACCCAAAAATTACAAAATTATTACCAAAATACACCCAACTCGTATAAAAACTTATCGACTTAAGTAGTACCGATTTAGGGCGTTGTGGGGTGTGAATTCACTTCCCCACACGTAACCGTACTCCCAAACCCATATCTCTTAATCGCAGACCATATCTCCGTTTTGACCCTAAGGCTAGAGCCGATCAAAGAGTGTTCGATCCACTCCAAGTAAGATCGATGGCGACTCCCAAAAATGCCGACGCGACCACATGCGGACCCCCGGAGGGACGGTTGCGACAGTTGGCGACTCCGCTGGGGAATTCGAGAGTCGAGCTACATAACTAAGTTCGATAAGTTTTCTAATTTTCTGTTACGTGTTGGGTGTATACTTTACTATTTGTGCAATTATATTTTCGCAATTAATTTCTGCATTCATGCATGAAAGCTCTATACCCGAGCTATCCTATTAGAAACGGAAAAGGAGTACCGTGACTTTCACAGTAGTGAAAATCACGCCAAACTTTCCAACCAAGTTGAACTCAGATCCGAGGTTGATCTTGAGGTATCCAGCCAGTTCGTAAGGGCTATGGCAGGATACAACTTGGGAGCCAAATCCCTAGGAATTCCTCTGCCAGCATATAGTAAGCATAGAGGCCTCCCTAAACCATCCAGAATAATCCTGAAACAACCCTAGCACCGCGTCATTATGCCCTCTGAAAGCCCTAGGTTTTCCCAAATAGGGTTATGGTTTTTATTATCTATATGTATGTTTTCTACTGACGTGATAACTTGTGGTATGTGCTCCCAATTGCAATATATTTATTTGTGAGAACGATGTGAATTTTTTTTCTTCTTTGAAAAAAAAAGAAACTCATAAGCATCATTCTCTTTTTGTGTTTTCATTTATGCACTTAAAATAAATCATGAAAACATTTTCAAAATGCACGTGCATCCAATGAATCATCTGTGCATCGCATAAGCATCATTCATACTCTTCATTACTCATTTAAGTCAATTTAATAAAAGTAATTGGTCAGGGTTCCTTAAAATTGCTCGTCCACAAGGAAAGAGTCAAGACTTCAAGTACTTAACTAGATCCAAGCTCGAGTTCGTCATGGAGGCATTTCAAAAAGAGTTGAACGACATCAAAGGAAAGCTGACCGGGTTTGACGAGAAGCTAGTGGGGTTCGATGAGAAACTAAAGGGCTTCGATGAGATGAAAAGCCAGCTCAACACAATATTGAGCATATTGTCAAGAAAAGGGAAGGAGGTTGCAACGAACGAGGAAGAAATCGTATTTGACGATGACGATCACTATGAGCAACCTCAGGGAAACATCTCAGGTAGTAAATTCATCCTCATACCTTCGAAGAACACAGGCGAAAAAGGTGACATTGGGTCATCAAAGCATGACAAATCCGGAAAACCCGAGAAGCAAGAGGAACATAAAATCGAAGCTATGCTAGAAGAAAAATTAGAACACATGAATGAACGAATAAGAAGTATAGAAGGAGTTGAGTCGTACGAGCCTATGGATTCATCAAAACTATGTCTAGTCCTAGATGTCGTGATTCCTCACAAATTTCAAATGCCAGAATTCAAAAGATACAATGGCACCACTTGCCCAAAAAGCCATCTGGTCATGTACTGCAACAAAAGGGCCAACCATATCCGAGATGAAAGGCTAATGGTACATTGCTTCCAAAACAGCCTGAGTGGTTCTGCCCTACGATGGTATATGCAGCTAGAGAAAACAAAAGTGAGAAGATGGCGAGACCTTGCCGATGCATTCATGAGGCACTACAAGCATAACCAGGATCTGGCTCCAGACCGAGAAGATCTGAGGAATATGGAAAATAATGAGAAAGAGTCTTTCAGGGAATATGCTCAAAGGTGGAGATGCAGACGTTCAACCTCCTCTGTCAGAAAAAGAGATGGTGTCAATCTTCTTCGGAACACTAAGGGCTCCATACTACAACAACATGGTCGGAATTACCACAACCAACTTTGCGGATCTGCTTGTAATCGGAGAGCAAATAGAAAAGGGTTTGAAGCAAGGTCGGATGGAAACCCCAGAAGCCTCTAAGAAACCACACCAAGCCCGAAGGGGAGAAGCAGATGTCCATTATGCTCAAACAGGATCATCTAGAGGAAGAAGGTGGGATCATCAACCTCAGGCCAATCAAGCCCATCCATGTGTTGCAAATGCCGCAATAATTAATCAATGTCCAAATTTTCCTACTCAACGAGCCATCCAGAGTCCGACACGAGTCGCACCACCACCAAATAACCAAGACCAGAATAATTATGGGAGATACAGGAAACCCATCCAAATCGATCTTATCCCTATCACATACACTGAACTTTTCCCTCAGCTGATTCAGAGTAACCTAATCTCCCCAATACCATGTGAACCTATAAAACCTCCTTATCCAAATTGGTACAAAATAGACCAACATTGTGCTTACCACTCGGGAGTAGCAGGACACTCGACTGAGGATTGCAGATCGCTCAAGATCAAGGTCCAACAAATGATGAATACTGGCTGGTTAAAGTTCGAAGATGAGCCAAAGCGTCTGGATGTCAACAATAACCCACTGCTGACTCATGGGAATTAGTAGACATACTACAAAGAAAATCTCGATTTAAGGATGATGTTGATCCTATCTAGTAAATAAAATATCGAGATCATTTTCCATAGCAAAATATGTATCACTTTTGCTTTTATCAACATAAATAAAAGGTCTCTCACGTTTCAACCTCTTTGGAGCATTGTGTGAATGGTATCAATCTTAATTTAAGAGTTTGCATCAATGTTTTATCAAAATAACGAATGCCACTTCCGAGTTCTTTAAAACAGATTTATCTTCTACGAAAATGAAAGCCATCCAAATCCAATTTACTTTTCAAGTTTAGCCATGAGACTGTCTTGCTAAGAAAATGTGAACACCCCACTGGTGTCGAGCGATTATAACCACCATGCTACCATCGATAAATTTTTCACCCACTGGTGCAGAGAGTGTACTTATTTTGCTAAAATCGAGAGATAAACACCCTATTGGTGTCCATGAATTATGTGAGCTAATAGTCAAAGGGTGTAATGAGTATACGACATCATGCTACTTGTATGAATCTCGTTACCACTATAGTCGACTTTCGCCAACAATTGAGGCTTAGTTTGCGTGAATTCAAATAGCCAAATCCCGATGCACGGGGAGCCTAACATTACTATCATATCAAGTAAACCCTCACGGAGTCTCGTGACTAGAATATCGAGGATGATCAAGGACATAATTTATCATGCAAAGGATTCACACGCAAAAAGCAGTCATATCCTCGTTTCAGGAGCTTACATCCTTACATGCAGAAAGCGTCTATTAAACTCACACATCAAAGTCCAATTGTGAGATATTTGCGCAATACCGGCAAGAACATGGCATCAACATCCCCATTTTTACCAAAAAGAATAGCCAATTTAATATAGTTATGAGAAGTGGCACTCACATCATCCATCATCGATGATCATCCTACCAAATACAAGTGCTAGATCAGGGAAAATGAGAAACGTATATGGGGGCATGACAGAGTCAAGCAAGTCCCACAAAAAAAAACAAAAAAACAAAACAAAACAAAAAACAAAAGCAAAGAAAAAAAAAAGACAAGAAAAACAAACAAAATGTCGTGGGACTTACAATCTGGGTGCCCCCGGTTTAGCATTTGAAGTACCAACTATCGGTACCTAGCCAAGATCTTTGCCGATCAACCTCAAGATACAGCAATGAGGACCTTCAAGCAAGAAACTTCCATGATAAGAAAATCGTCATAGCCAAAACCACATCATCCAAGGTACTCATCATTTTTAGAGAAAGCCAGAAGCTGAAATCCACCGCATTCAACATTTAGATGCCAAACAAGGATCTCGACAAGTCCCTAGCCAGATTGCACTCACAAAAATCATAACCTCGGCTGGTAAAAAATACTGGGGGGCAACAGCTGAAGATACATTCCCATTAAAAAAAACCGCCAGTATTTTCGAACAAGACTTTGTCAGCAAAAGGATCCGGATAATAGTGGTTGTTAACCCATCAAGTCAATCACATACTCTGGGGGCAAAAGCCAAAATCCCTCTACAAGAAGCTTTATACAGATAATGTTAAGATTTCATATACTCGCCACCCATCTGAATAAACTACACCTCAAGAACAAGGAGACTCGTATCCTCGAGGTCATATCGGACAAAAGCCTCTTTCATGGGAGACTAAAAATGTGTGCGAGAAGCCATATGGAGGCCTCCTAAATCAATCATACTAAGGGCTTCCATATTTGAGTAAATCTTCACAAGGAACACAGTTGGTCACAACATATAGGTGACGTCTCAAGGCGACCAGAATCTTAATGGTAGCTGAAGTGTCGTACACTCAAATCACCTATAGGAATGAGTGTTGAGTGAAATCCAAAGCGGGAGTGAGAGCGATCAAAATCGAAAGCAAGAGTGAGAGCGAGGGCTTACTGATATTCTCATGGCTTGGCTTACATTTCTCTTAGAAAACCAAATTTGGAAATATGACAACTACCACACAAAAACGGTTTTCTCCAGTTTGCACACACTTCTCGAAACCAAAGTCTTCACATGGCTTTCAATTTTAATTCTATAATAAACGTTTTTCAAACATTTTTGCTTTCGTCTTAAGTCAAGATTGATATAGTCACTCTATGTTCCGAAGAATAGAAAGTGAGTAATGGATCTTCGGGGGCAAAATTGGTGCATCATGGAAGAAGGGGAAGTCTGAGCACCCAAGAATCGGATTAATCAACTTTTCACGCATGAGTTGATGGAAAAATCTCAGGGAGTCTGAAAATATTTAGATCTCATTGAGCCAACCAGCCAATCGATTATGCTTCAAATGCATAGCAAGAAAGAAGTCCTATTATACCGCACTGACTGAGAATTATACGACTCTGAAACATGTGGGCCCATACCTGGCCGAGAAGAAGGATGAAGCAATACACATCCTCAACTCATCCAACAAAGTATATCGTCACACCACTTCCATGAAGAAGATATATCCCGAGACATCAAGCCGAAAGTCGCTCCAAGCCTGACCAACAAGAGGATTAAGGCGACAAACATCATCATCTCAACTTACAAAGCATATCTTTACGCAACTATCACCAAAAAGATATACCTCAAGACAATAAGTTTAAAGTATCTCCAACATAAGCATGACCTATGGATCGATTTGATCAAAAGGAATTGACAGTTCCTAGAGGATGAGCAATTTAAAGGAACCCCGAGTAAAAACAAAATAACCAACAAAAACAAAACAACATATTGGCATACCCGATTTCAAAAGGATCATATCACTCAACATTCACGACTTCATCAGCATGACATATCACACAATCATGTTCAAATCATTTTGATAATCACGTCATAACATCATTATACATTAAAGTGACGTGCTATGCATCACAATCATTTCCAAAATTTCTAAAATATCCATATAAAAAGTATGTGAGAACTTTTTATGCAAAATACCACTACGCATTTACCAAATGTTAGCTTGATCTTTATCGCTAGCACTTTCTCATTGTTTGATTTGATTCCTATCACAAGCAATTTGAGTACGACTTCTTTTACAAAATTGTTAGTTTGATCTTTATCACTAACATCTTCCTCATTGTTTGAATTGATTTCTATCACAAACAATTTGAGTACATCATCATTTACAAAATTGTTAGCTTGATCTTTATCGCTAACACTTTTCTCATTTTTCTATTTGATTTCTATCATAGACAATTTGAGAAAATTTTCCGGGAAAAATTGTTAGTTTGACCTTTATCACTAACATTTTCTCATTGTTCTATTTGATTTCTATCATAGACAATTTGAGTAAAATATCGTTTACAAAATTATTAGTTTGATCTTTATCACTAACATTTCCTCATTGTTCTATTTGATTTCTATCATAGACAATTTGAGTACAATATCCTTTACAAAATTGTGAGTTTGATCTTTATCACTAACATCTTCTCATTGCTTGATTCGATTCCTATCACAAGCAATTTGAGTACAACGCCCCTTAAAAAATTGTTAGCTTGATCTTTATCGCTGACACTTTCCTCATTGTTCTATTTGATTTCTATCATAGACAATTTGAGTAAATCGTACGAGCAAAATTGTTAGTTTGATCATTATCACTAACATCTTCCTCATTGTTTGAATTGATTTCTATCAAAAACAATTTGAGTACAAGATCCTTTACAAAATGATAAACTTGATCTTATCACAGTCATTTTTCACATTGATCAAGTTGATTTCAATCTTAGACAACTTGAGCATATCATGGTTACCAAAATTATTAGCTTGATTTTATCGCTATCATCGTTCTCATTGGCCAACGTGGTTTCTACCACAGACAACTTGAGTATATCGTTGTTACAAAATGACTAGTTTGATTTCATTGCTAAGGTTCTCCAAATTGACCGATTTGTTTCTATCAGGAACAACTTGAGTATATCGTTGTTGCCAAATGGTCAGTTTGATCTTATCTCTACCATTTTCTTTGCAATTCAGTTACCACCATCGTAGCAATTTGAATAAGTCATTGTTACCAAATGGTCAGTTCAACATACATTTCTAAAATATTCATATACAAAATGTGGATGTCTTGATAGGAACTTTGTATAACTCTTTTTACAAAAGAGATATACAAAGGGGGGGCAATTGTAGACACCACATTTTGTCCGGATTCTTCATATACTTTAAATCGGGATATTTGGTTCACTTAAGTTGGAAAATAATAATGAGTTTGACCTTGAATGATGATTAGAAAATTTTTGTGAGCAATACACTTATGAAGCAATCTCTTTTGTGAGCAATACACTTATGAAGCAATCTCTCACCAATCGGGGTTGTTCGTATTACACAGGAATGCGATCTTGGATTCAAGTTTTGTACTTGATTATGCATTCGAATTGAGTGTCAAGCTTTGAATGCACAAGAAAGTAGAAATCATATTATTGAAGAATTTAAAAGGTTTATACAATCATCTACCTTATTACAACGTTCCTACATTCCTAACAGTCAATCATGTTCACAAATAAAAAACAAAAAAAAAAGGGTGGTAGACTTGGAGGTCCAAACCAGCAACTTGCAAAAGAAAAGAAAGTCATCTCAGATCAGCCCACAGTTCAAAGACAGATCAAGCCTAGAGTTCGGCCCAAAATTGAAGTCCATCCCAGCCCAAGCCCAGACAACCTAAAATTGTGTGCCAAGCCTATCCTGAAAAGGCCCTGATCAGTCAGAACCGACCAAGCAAGTGGAGGCTATTGGGGCAGCCTCAAAATTCGACCTATCAGAAAGAAACACGGCATTTCAAGTCTTAACAAAGACTAATGGCGAAACAACACGTGGCATACGATTTAGCTATAAGTAGAGCTCTTCAGCTCTTGATTTGGGGGAG